GAACGAAACAGAATGACTTCAAGAGTGTACAAATCTGTAGTGGAGGGAAGGCGGGGTAGAGGTCGGCCGAGGAAAGGTTGGAGGGAGGGGGTAAAGGAGGTTTCATGTGTGAGGGGCTTGGCCTTCCAGCAAGCATGCTTGAGCGTATGTGATAGGAGCGAATGGAGACAAATGGGTTTTAATACATGACATGCTGTTGGAGTGTGAGCAAAGTAACATTTATGAAGGGATTCAGGGAAACTGGCAGGCTGGACTTAGAGTCCTGGAGATGGGAAGTACAGTGTCTGCAATTTGAAGGAGGGGTGTTAATGTTGCAGTTTTATAACCGTAGTGTAAAGCATCCCTCTGGCAAAACTGATGGAGTGAATGATGATGAAAGTTTTTCTTTTTCAGGCCACCCTGCCTTGGTGGGAATTGGCCAATGTGTTAATAAAATAAAATAAAAAGTACATGATACAACTGATATAAACTTAATACATGATAAAAGTGATATAACTCTAAATGACATCACTGACATACTATATAGAAAACTGGTTGTACTGAGCATTCTGGGCAACTTAGGTTAATCTTGTCCCCCAGGATGCGACCCACAACAGTCTGTAACCTTGGTACCTACTTACTGATAGATGCATAGGGGCAGCAGGAAACATGCCCAATGGGTTGCCTGTGCCAGGGATCAATCTCAGACCCCTCAGTGTGTGAGCCAGGGATTTATTTATTTATTTATTTTATGTCTTTGCAAACAGTACATTGAGATTTTGTATTTACAAAAGTGGGTTGCAATGCAAAGAGAGCCTCTATTATGCCTAGACATTATGGGCCAACTTAACATTATTGGCTTACAGACTACTTAACACTAAGGATTATATCATAGTTGTACAGTAGGACAGTAATTATTTCATAGTTGAACAGATGATTATTATTTATAAGTGAATCAAAATTTGTATAAGACAAAAGATAAATTCATCTATTCAAAAATGCTTTATGTGAAAACAACAATTTAATTATATTCCTGTCAACAATGGATAAAAGGTTCAAAGTGATTGATGAAATTATGATGTGGGAGAACATAAGTGAGTATGAGTGTACTGAGTATTAGCATTTAGTCTAGGGTGATTAAGTGGCTTTTGAGAAGAGTCCTAAATTGATTTTCAGACCGGGTTACTTTAATATCTTCTGGTAATGAATTCCATATTTTGGGGCCCTTTATGTGCATAGAGTTTTTACACAGTGTGATATGGACACGAGGTATATCAAAAAGAGATGTGTCTTGTGTTGTGGTCATGTGTCCTGTTTAGGTTGGTGAGGAGAACTTTGAGTGGAGGGTTTATATTTGCATGTATTGTTTTGTGTATGTAGTAAGCACATGAATAAGTATGGATGTTCTTAATGGTGAGCAGTTTCAGACTTTTGAAAATTGGTGGAGTATGCTGGCGGGAGTGGGAATTTGTTATCATTCTTACTGCTGACTTTTGCTGGGTTATTAGGGGTTTTAGGTGACTGGATGTTGTTGATCCCCATGCAAAAATTCCATATGTAAGATAAGGGTATATGAGTGAATGGTACAGTGCCAGGAGAGTTGACTGTGGAACGTAGTACCTTATCTTTGATAGTATGCCTACAGTCTTGGAGATTTTCTTGGTGATTTGTTGTATGTGTGTCTCGAACTTAAGGCTACTGTCAAGGTGGATACCTAGGAATTTTCCCTCTGTGAGTCTTGTGACTGATGATCCATTTAGCGTTATGTTAATTGGATCATTTGCAGCTTTGTTTCCAAACTGAATGAAATAGATATCAGTATTCAGGGTAAGTTTGTTAGTCATCATCAAGGAAGACATTTTCTGCAATTTGGCATTGACTGTGTTTGCTAGCATGACTGTGTTTGGGTGGGAAAAGACATATGTAGTGTCATCTGCAAATAATATGGGTTTGAGTAGTTGTCATGCGTTCATTAGATCATTGATGTAGATGAGAAAGAGGAGTGGTCCAAGGGCACTTCCCTGTGATTGGTTGGGTGGAAGAGTTTGCATCATTTGCATACACATATTGAGTTCTGTTACTAAGGTATGATTTTAGGTAGTTGAGGGAGTGACCTCTGATACCATAGTGCATTAATTTAGAGTACTACAGCAGTTCATGGTCGATAGTATCGAAAGCTTTACGTAAATCAATGAAAATGCCCAGCGGGACTTCTTTCTTTTCGAGTGCGGTATATGTTAGTTCTAGCATGTGAATGATAGCATCATTTGTGCTTTTATTATTCCTGAATCCAAACTGACAAGGATTTAATATGTTGTGTGATACGAGGTAGGAATAGATCCGTCTATGAATAAATTTTTCAAAGATTTTAGAGAGCAGTGGTAAGTTAGATATTGGTTTATAGTTATTAAAGTCAGCTTGGTCACCTCCTTTGTGGATCAGAGTGACCCTCGCTATTTTGAGGATTGCTGGGAAGGTAGATGATTCAATGGATTTGTTAAAGAGCGTTGCAATAATTGGTGACAATACTTGAGAAGCTTTTTTGTACATAAAAGCAGGCAAGTTGTTTATGTCTCCTGCCTTGTTTTTAAGGGTGTTTATGATGAGCATAACTTCTATGGGGTTGGCTGGAGCTAGGAATAGCGTATTTGGGTAGGTACCTATGAGGTAGTCTGATGGACGGGTGCTTGCGCTTGGTATTTTGTTCGCTAGATTTTTTCCCATGGTGGAAAAGAAAACATTGAGTCTGTTCGCTGTTTCAGTAGGTGTGAGTAAGGGTTCATCTGATTTTGTTAGTTTGATTGTTTTGTTTTTGGATAACTTTTTAGTTCCAAGAATTTCAGATAGAGGTTTCCAGGTTTTCTCATATCACCTTTGATGTTATGTAATCTATTTTCATAATACAATTTTTTAGATCTTCTTATCAGGCTGGTAAGTGCTGACGAGTAACGTTTAGACTTCTCTAGTTATTTGACCCATTCTATACTGTTTTTCATATTTCTGCTTTGTGTTAATGGATTTGAGGATGCTTGGTGTTAAGCAGGGATTATTCAGTCTCTTTGCTGTTATCTGTTTAGTTTTTTTTGGGCAATGTTTGTTATAGAGGCTTTGGGCTTTTCTTAGAAAATTATTTATATATTCATTCACATCTGTATATGTTTTGATCTCATTTTGCCAATCAATGTTATTCATAGCTGCTATCAAGTTGTTAACTGCTGTCTCATTATGTAGTCTGAAGGTTACTTTAGTAATGTCTTGTGGGAGTTTGCCCACATTAGCTATGAGAAAGTTTGGGTTGTGGTCTGTAGTGTTTTCTGTGATTATGCCTTATTTTAAAGGGGATATGGTGTTTGTCCAGATGTGGTCTATTAACCCTTAAACGGTCCAAAGAGATCGACGTTCAAATTCGTAATGCTACAAAAGTAGATCTACTTTTTTTTTACATATTTTCAATTATAACAAAAAAAAATGTAGCTAAAAGTTTTTTACACGTTTTCAAATGTAAAACAAAAAAAGATCTACATTTTTTTACATACTTTCAGATGTTGAAAAAACGTATATATACGTTTGGACCATTTAAGGGTTAAAGAGATGCTTGTCTCGGTGATTCTTGTAGGTTTAGATATTGCTGGTGTTTGTGAATTCGGTTACTTGTGGGTCCTGGTCGTGTAGTATGTTTATGTTGACATCTCCTGTTAGTAGTAGGTGGTCTTTATTCATGTGTGCATCAGTAATCATGTTTCCTAGTTTTTCACTAAAGTGGTAAATGTTTGACTGTGGTACTCTGTAGATGTTTATAACTGTGAGGGGTTTTTGTAGGTCTTTTGATTTAAATTTGGCTATGATATATTCTTCATGTTCATCCCTTGTACAAGATTTATTGATACATTCGAGTTGATTTTAGTAGTATATAGCTGTTCCTCCCCCTTGCTGGTCTGTTCTACAGTTGTGTATGGCCATGTAGCCAGGAATGGTATAGACATCTGTAATATCAGGCTTAAGCCAGGTTTCTGTAAGTGTGATGATTGATATATTGGAATGAAGGGAGTTGAGTAATGCTGTGAGGTCGTCATAATGTTTGCTCAAGGATCTGACATTGTAGTTAAAGATGGTTATGTTATTGTTTGCACTGAGTAATGTCTTTGCTTGGTCTGCTGTATAGTAATTACAGTTGCTGTTTGATTAGTGTAATTCATTTAGTAAAAAGTTTACATCAGGATCTATGCCTGTAATCATAAGATGAGAGTAATTTTACAAAGTAGATTTTCTGAGTAAAATATTATAAGATTTATATTGAATCTACAACTAGACTTATGAATAAGGCTCCGTAATTATTCAAAAACTTGTAAAACTTTAAAAGAAAAAGGGATTATTACAGAATAGATAATTCAGTTATACACTTAAGCATCTAATAGCACCTAAATTATCTTAACAAATGTGAGTTTATGAACTACGGTAGATATTTACAGCTAAAATAAAGGAGCTAGTGAATATAAAACTAGAAGAATGTATTAAAAAGAAAATCAGTAGCCACAAGCAAGCCACAAGATGGTTCCCTGCTGAGCAGACTTCTTCAGTTGTTATACAGAGGAAGCAAGAAAAATAGTGATATGGATACGAGTTGATGAGCCTCTGATCTTGGAAAAAGAGGGACTGACTACCTCAAACTTCTCCAGGATGAGGGACTGATCACCTCGTATCTACATCATTACTTCAATTGGTTCCTCTGTATTTAGACTGAAGAAGCATCCTCAGTAGGCTCAGCTCCGGGTAAAAAATTCGAACAAACTCTTATCTTAAAAGTTTCTTCAGTAAATATACCAAACTGTTGCACTTTGTCTTATTCATCTACTTATTATTGAAAGCCATTAATGCAATTATACTTAGTTAACGTAAGTTAAAAACTATACATAAAATGCTAGTAGATGTCTCACTGTTGCTTCAATAATACAAACTTAAGAAAAAGAGCGAGAAATAATGCGGCAGCGCTACCACTTTAATCATGTTATCACTAAGCTTACCCTCTTGTCATCCCTGCTAGGCACAAACATCACTGCTCCAATACATACTAGTTGAAATATGGCACCCAAGAATAGGCCATATTTCAATACTTCATCAAAAATATCAGTTTCTGTGAGGGAGGGATCGATCGCCATCTTGTTGTTGACAAACATCAGCTCTCAACACTCCTTCATAACTACCATATTACTGACATTAAAATAAAATACATTGATAATTGTGTAAAATATATGTTTGTAAAATATTTATAAAGCTGCTTACATAGCATTTCCAGCATTTTTTTTTTTAACAATATGCGCTGGGTATATGAAAAAAATATATAGGTGTTAACTGTAGGCGAATATTTTAACATTAATTAAATCATATAATGTAACGTGTAGTATATTATTTATTTATATTAGAAAGTAGTGGATAATTGATATATTTGTCAATATTTATTTTAAAATTCGTATTATACACACTATCTTTGAGATAGGATGTTGATGCTTGATAACAAATAAGATCTAAGTTACATACGATACTCAAGCCACGTTGAAAAGGACTTAAGATAAGTGTTACCCGCTCAGGATGGCTAAAAAAAAAAAGTCAGTACGTCATCAAGGACTTTCTGTCTTATTTATAACCATTGGGGGTCCTTAATTTTGTCCCCCAGGATGCGACCCACAACAGTCGACTAACACCCAGTTACCTACTTACTGCTAGGTGAACAGAGACAGCAGGTATAAATAAACGTGCCCAACGTTTCCACCCGATGGGCATCAGGTAGGGGTGGCCCGATAATACCCAACAAACACCCATAAACCGGGGATGAACCACAGACACCAGTTGATACTCACTCACCTAATGTGGTGCAGGGGTCCGAAAACCCCACCTCCTGGACTCCCGCCTCATTCACCACGCTAACTGGTTCATCTAACTCACTCCTCCCGCTCTCATGAGCTTAGTCCTCTCTCCTCTGCTCAGAGTTATCATACTCGTCTTAAAACTATGTATAGTTCCTGCCTCCACTACATCGCTTGCCAGACTATTCCACTTCCTAACTACTCTATGACTGAAGAAATACTTCCTAACATCCCTTTGACTCATCTGAGTCTTCAGCTTCCAATTGTGACCCCTTGTTTCTGTGTCCCATCTCTGGAACATCCTGTCTCTGTCCACCTTGTCTATTCCTCGCAGTATTTTGTATGTCATTATCATGTCTCCCCTGACCCTCCAGTGTTGTCAGACCAATTTCCCTTAACCTTTCTTCATAGGACATTCCCCTTAGCTCTGGAACTAGCCTTGTTGCAAACCTTTGCACTTTCTCTAATTTCTTGACGTGTTTGACCAGGTGTGGGTTCCAAAATGGTGCTGCGTACTCCAGTATGGGCCTGACGTACACAGTGTATAAAGTCTTGAACGATTCCTTACTGAGGTACCGGAACGATATTCTCAGGTTTGCCAGGCGCCCATATGCTGCAGCAGTTATCTGGTTAATGTGTGCTTCTGGCGATGTACTCGGTATTATACTCACTCCTAGGTCTTTCTCCTTGAGTAAGGTTTGCAGCCTTTGGCCACCTAGCCTATACTCTGTCTGCAGTCTTCTTTTGCCCTCCTCCGATCTTCATGACTTTGCATTTGGCGGGGTTAAATTCTAGGAGCCAGTTTCTGGACCACACATCCAGCCTGTCCAGGTCTCTTTGTAGACCTGTTTGGTCCGCATCTGATTTAATTCTCCTCATTAACTTCACGTCATCTGCAAACAGGGACACTTCTGAGTCTATCCCTTCCATCATGTCGTTCGCATATACCAGGACTGGCCCCTGTGGGACCCCACTCGTCACTGGCGCCCACTGTGATACCTCATCACGGACCATGGCTCGCTGTTGCCTCCCTGTTAGGTATTCTCTGGTCCATTGCAGTGCCCTTCCTGTTATACGTGCCTGTTCCTCAAGCTTCTGTACTAATCTCTTGTGAGAAACTCTGTCGAAGGCCTTCTTGCAGTCCAAGAAAATGCAATCAACCCACCCCTCTAGGCAAATGTTGCCAACCGAGCCACAAATTATTAACTGGGCGGGTTAGTAACCCAGAATAATGCTAGATATCCATCTCTTTGTGCCTCTAATCTTTTAACTACCGCCCACAGGATGAGTATTGGGTGCATAATGAAGATATTAAACTGAAACTATCCAGTCAGCTCCTGGTCCCATCTCTCTACTGGCCAGTATTGCATTCATCCTGGCTGTTTGAGCCCTGGTGCAAAAGTTCTCGCTTCACACGGTGAGGAGTCCGGGTTCGATTCCCGGCGAAGGGGTGGAAACATTGAACATGTTCACACATCAGTAAAATGGGTACATGAGTGTTACTCTTTGTTGGGTTTATCAGGGTCACTGACAGCATAAGCCGTAACTTTTATTTATTTATTTATTTATTTATTTATTTGTCTTTGCAAACAGTACATTGAGATTATGTATTTATAATAATGAGTTGCAATGCAAAGAGAGCCTCTATTATGCCTAGGCATTATGGGCCAACTTAATATTATTGGCTTACTAACTACTTAACATTAAGAATTATATCATAGTTGTACAGTAGATTATTAATTATAAGTGAATCTAATTTATATAAGACAAAAGATATATTCATATATTCAAAAATGCTTTTTGTGAAAACAATGATTCAATTATATTCCTGTCAGCAAAGGATAAAAGGTTCAAAGTAATTGTTGAAATTATGATGTGGGAGTACATAAGGATGTGTGTACTGTGTATTTAGCATTTAGTCTAGGGTGATTAAGTGGCTTTCGAGAAGAGTCTTAAATTGATTTTCAGACCGGGTTACTTCAGTATCTTCTGGTAATGAATTCCATATTTTGGGGCCCTTTATGTGCATAGAGTTTTTACACAGTGTGATATGGACACGAGGTACATCAAAAAGAGATCTGTCTTGTGTTATGGTCATGTGTCCTGTTTAGGTTGGTGAGGAGAAGTTTGAGTGGAGGGTACATATTTGCGTGTATTGTTCTGTGTATGTAGTAGGCACATGAAAAAGTATGGATGTTCTTAATGGTGAGCAGATTCAGACTTTTGAAAATTGGTGGAGTATGCTGGCGGGAGTGGGAATTTGTTATTAATCTGACTGCTGTCTTTTGCTGGGTTATTAGAGGTCTTAGGTGACTGAATGTTGTTGATTCCCATGCACAAATTCCATACCTGGAATTTACTTGGAGAGAGTTCCGGGGGTCAACGCCCCCGCGGCCCGGTCTGTGACCAGGCCTCCTGGTGGATCAGAGCCTGATCAACCAGGCTGTTACTGCTGGCTGCACGCAAACCAACGTACGAGCCACAGCCCGGCTGGTCAGGTACCGACTTTAGGTGCTTGTCCAGTGCCAGCTTGAAGGCTGCCAGGGGTCTGCTGGTAATCCCCCTTATGTATGCTGGGAGACAGTTGAACAGTCTCGGGCCCCTAACACTTATTGTATGGTCTCTTAACGTGCTAGTGACACCCCTGCTTTTCATTGGGGGGATGTTGCATCGTCTGCTAAGTCTTTTGCTTTCGTAGTGAGTGATTTTCGTGTGCAAGTTCAGTACTTGTCCTTCTAGGATTTTCCAGGCATGTGTGTACTCACCTATTATGTGTGTGTGTACTCACCTATTTGTACTCACCTATTTGTGGTTGCAGGGGTCGAGTCACAGCTCCTGGCCCCGCCTCTTCGCTGATTGCTACTAGGTCCTCTCTCTCCCTGCCCCATGAGCTCTATCATACCTCGCCTTAAAACTATGTATGGTTCCTGCCTCCACCACATCACTTTCTAGGCTATTCCATGGCCTGACTACTCTATGACTGAAGAAATACTTCCTAACATCCCTTTGATTCATCTGAGTCTTCAACTTCCAATTGTAACCTCTTGTGTCTGTGTCCCATCTCTGGAACATCCCGTCTTTGTCCACCTCGTCTATTCCGCGCAGTATTTTATATGTCGTTATCATGTCTCCCCTGACCCTCCTGGCCTCCAGTGTCGTCAGGCCGATTTCCCTCAACCTTTCTTCATAGGACAATCCCCGTAGCTCTGGGACTAGTCTTTTTGCAAACCTTTGGACTTTCTCTAATTTCTTGACGTGCTTGACTAGGTGCGGATTCCAAACTGGTGCTGCATACTCCAGTATGGGCCTGACGTAGATGGTGTACAGAGTCTTAAACGAATCCTTACTGAGGTATCGGAACGCTATCCGTAGGTTTGCCAGGCGCCCGTATGCTGCAGCAGTTATCTGATTGATGTGCGCCTCAGGAGATATGCTCGGTGTTATACTCATCCCCAGATCTTTTTCCTTTAGTGAGGTTTGCAGTCTTTGGCCATCTAAACTATATTGTGTCTGCGGTCTTCTTTGCCCTTCCCCAATCTTCATGACTTTGCATTTGGCAGGGTTAAATTCAAGGAGCCAGTTGCTGGACCAGGCTTGTAGCCTGTCCAGATCTCTTTGTAGTCCTGCCTGATCCTCGTCCGATTCGATTCTTCTCATTAACTTCACATCGTCTGCAAATAAGGACACTTCTGAGTCTATCCCTTCCGTTATGTCGTTCACGTATACCAAGAACAGCACAGGTCCTAGGACTGACCCCTGTGGAACCCCGCTTGTCACAGGCGCCCACTCTGACACCTCGTCGCGTACCATGACTCGTTGTTTCCTCCCTGTCAGATATTCTCTGATCCATTGCAGTGCCTTTCCTGTTATGTGTGCCTGGTCCTCTAGCTTTTGCAGTAACCTCTTGTGAGGAACTGTGTTGAAAGCCTTCTTGCAGTCCAAAAATACGCAGTCGATCCACCCCTCTCTCTCTTGTCTTACTTCTGTCACTTGTCATAAAACTCTAGTAGGTTGTGACACAGGATTTTCCTTCCCTGAAACCGTGCTGGTTGTCAATTATACACTTGTTTCTTTCCAGGTGCCCCACCATCTCCTCCTTTGATGGATCTTCTCCAGGGACCTTGCATAAATTATACACGTTAGAGATTTACAGGTTGTAGTTTAGTGCCTCATGTTGTCTCCCTTTTTAAAAATTGGGCTACATTTGCCATTTTCCATACCTCAGGGGTTGCCCAGTTTCAAATATGTGTTGAAGATCTTTGTTAATGGCTACACAATATCATCCTCCCTCTTTAAGGACCATGGGAGGATGTTGTCTGGTCCACGCCTTTGAGG